CCGCCATGGTGTTGGTGGTGCCAAGTAAGTAGGATGCCACAAGAGTGGTGGCATTGGTTATGCACCACAGTCGGACTGCTTCTGCACATAGAGATGGGAGCATGCACCTCCTTGGCAGTTTATGTAGTATATTGTCACTACATTGTCTGTAAGGATCTTCACTGTAGTGTTGCGAATCCGATTGCGAAAAAGCATGCAAGCACTGGCAACCATCCTTAGTTCTAGAAGGTTTATATGGAGCAATGTTTCCTGGGGTGACCATCGTCCTTGGATGGATGTGGTACCCGTATGTGCCCCCGCAAACCATAAGGGAAGCATCGGTAGTAATATAGTGAACTGGTTGCGGCTGGTAAAAAGAGATTCCTGAAAGGATGTTCTTTTCCTTGGTCCACCATTTGAGAGAGGTTCCAACTTGCAGTGGTGAAGCCACCGTCTGTGTACGTCATGATTCTGGAAGTTTTAAACTGTTTGTAACCAATGTTGGAAAGTATGGAAACACAGTCTGGCATGAGGAACCACATATGTTGCGGCTGCCATGTGGACCATCAACTTCAGGCATGTAATAATATGAACTGTGGGTTCATAAAGAAGAATGTCTATTAGCTCCTGCATTGCTCAAAACCTGTGAAGAGGCAAATAAGCCCTTGCAGTAAAGGCATTGAGACAGGCTCTGATGAATTCCAACTCCTGAGTGTTGGTTCGAGTGTTGACTTTTGTTTGTTGATGAGGAGTCTAAGCATTTGCAGTGTTTTTACGGTCAACATTGAGAAACCTCTGCTGATGATTTGCCTTTTATGAGACAGACTGTTTTATGATAGACAGTCGTCGAGGTAAGGGAATATTACTACCCCTTTTCTTCATAAATGAGCGGCAACTACTGCCAGTGTTTGGTAAACACCCTAGGGCGGCAGATAGTCCGAACGGCAGGACTCAGTATTGGAAATGATCTGTGCCAATTGTAAAGCGGACAAACCTCCTGTGGGCAGGATGAATGCTGACATGGAAATATGCATCCTGGAGGTCGAGGGCAGCAAACCAGTCACCTAGATCCAAGGAAGGGATTATGGATGCTAAAGTTACCATCTTGAACCTTTCTTTTCTGACATTTGTTTAGTTTTCTGAGGTTCTCCTGTCTTCTTTTGTACTAGGAAATAAAGAGTAAAATCCTCTCCCTCTGAACTCTTGTGGTACTCTTTCTACTTATGGATAACTCTTTCGACTTATGGATAGGAGATGGTCGACCTCGGTGCGTAGCAGGTTCTCGTGAGAGGGGTCCCTGGAAAAGGGACGGGGTTGGAGGAGTTGTGGGAGGGGATGGAGAGAAGTGGGATCGTGTAACCATGTTGCATTATTTCCAACACCCACTTGTCAGTGGTGATGGCAACCCAGTGGTGGTAGAATGGTCACAGGCAATGATGGAATAAGTGGGTAGAAGACTGGGATAGGCGAATATGTGAGACTCTTTGCATGTCCTTGACAGAGGAGTCAAACCTGCTTGTTATTAGGCTGGCCCTGGGTACGGTTGGTTTGATTTCAACACATTTGAGGTCTCTGGCACAAGTGCTATTGGTCAAATGTGTGCTGAGGTTGATGCCACTGTTGTCTACTGTGGGTATAGTCATATCTCCTCTGAAAGGGGGTGATTGTCTCCTCTTGTACAGTGTAGTGTACATTCCCAAAAGTGTTGTTCTGAAGTCCTTGCTGGAGTGGAGGACGGTGTCTGTCTTCTCTGCGAATAGTTTATCTTTGTCAAAGGGTAAATCCTCTACTTTGTTTTGTATATCTTTAGGAACTCTGGCAGATTGGAGGTAAGACACCCATCTCATCACTATGGCAATAGCTGTTGTTCGCACTGCTGTGTCTGCAACGTCCATCGCTATCTGCAGACCAGCTCTGGTAGAGGCATACCCCTCTTGTACGACCGCCTTCAGAATCTCTCTCCTGGACTCGGAAAGCAGCTCCATCAGTGGTGTCAAATTGGTATAATTGTCAAACCTTGTGGTTTGATAGATGCACTAAATAATTTGCTATTCAAAGGAGGAGTGTGGATGACATGTAAACCTTCCTGCCTAATAAATCCAGTCTTTTAGAATCTTTGTCTAATGTGTAATTCCTATACTGCAGTGTTTTTACCCTTTGTTGTGCCACATCTACTACTAAGGAGTTTGGCTGAGGGGGACTGAAAAAAAATCTCAGACCGCTTGGGTGGCACAAAATACTTTTTATCTGCCCTCTTGTTGGTAAGTAAGGCGGCTGCCAGGGTTTGCCAGATCTCATCTGCAACTTCCAATATGGCTTCATCAAGCGGGATGGCCAGCTTTGAAGAGGAGGAAGCTTGCAGATTAAGGAGGCGATGTTGTTTTTCTTTAATCTCGGACAACTGTATCTCTTGACTAACTGCCACCCTCTTGAACAACTCTTGAAATTGTTTTAAATCGTCAGGAGGTGAAGCATCTCCAGGGATAACTGCTTTGTCAGGTGATGAAGAGGACTGATCTGTAGGGGATATATCAGGTGGCTGTACCTCTATTGCAGTGAGCTGCTCCTGGTCAGTGTCAGAACGAGGCAGTTGAGGAGACACTGGATTTTGTTTTAAAACAGATGAGGATGGAACACGTGAATGTCCAGGAGATGTGCACTCATATGTTGACCGTGGACGAGATCTGGATCTGTAATGAGAGGAGTATCTATATGGCGAGTTATGTCTGTGTTGGTCGTAATGGTGGTGGCGGTCGTCATGGTAGTAATTGCTATATGTGGGAGAAAGACTATATGCGCGAGGTCTCCTGTATTTCCTCCAGTAAGTGGATCTTGGTGATCTTGGAGAGTGGGAGAGAGTGTAAGATCTCCTTTGAGGTGACAGAGAGGCTGAGAATTGTCATTGGGAGTAATGAGTAGGCTCTCTAGGTGGAGTGAGGTAGTCTGTGTGAGGAGTGGTACCAATTGTCTTGGTTGGGCAGAAGCGAAGGAGATGCCAGTGCCACCAGCGGTGGGGAAGGTGCCGGTGCCAGCAAGAAAGTTGGTGACAGAGAACCTGGAGATGGGCTTCGGCGCTGAGGAGTCTTTGCAACTGCCTCTCTCAATATCACAGTTTCTGGTGCCGAGGTTGGCGCCGGTAATTGTAGCTCGACACTTATTGGTTAAGGCTGCATATGAGGCACCAGTGCTGACTGCTTCAGTTTTGGGACTGCTGGCACCAGTCATGCAGTCGGTACTGCTGTTGGTGACTTTGATATGGAAGACACCGCTGAGATAGAATGGGAAATGGGTGTACCAGATATGCCCAGCTTACTGCCCACGCTCACTCCACCCCAGAGTACAGAAGGGAGAGACCTTGTCAAAGAAGATTTCATTTTATGCGTTGGAGCCGGGGGCCAAGAAGAGGCTCGTCATTTTGGGGCCTATTGAGGCATAGGAGAGGCTGATCCATCAGGCTGGAGAGCCTTATCAAATAAAGTCATGCATAGCTTCATCTCTATGAGGCACGGCGGGCTCGGGCCATTAGCTTGCTGCAATTGGGGCACTTTTGCGGCATATGAGCTTCCCCTAAGTGGCGTATACAGACAATGTCCATCTGAGGCTGGCATGGCCTCACGACACACCTCACACACTTTAAAACCCGGAGACCCAAGCATTTTGTTTTAAATGAAAATTAAACTATATACAAGTGAGGGATAAAACTCATCGTATATTAACAATGGTATAAGGGGGAAAACTACTAACTATAGAATAGAAATGTATAACTATATTGTTTGTGGCTTTTGGGTTTTTTTTTTTTTTAAAGGGAATGAGTTGAAGAACGAAACATGAAATATGAGGGAAGAGGAGGAAGAACGATACAAAAGGTAAGTAACTAGAACACTCTCACAACATAACTAGAGGAGAAGCGGTTCACTCCATCTGCAGCCTGAGGCAGTTGAGAGGAGCTGGATCGTGTGCACGTGCAGAAGAGCGCAAATGCTGCAAGACACCTCTGCGCATGCGTGATCCGGCCGACTACTGCTGCAAAAGTCTTTGATCTGCAGTGCCGGGGCAAGCCCAGCACCTACAGTGGAGCACCCATGGGGACATCACTGAAGAAGAACCACCAGCTCCTCCCCAGCACTACACGTAAGTCTATCTAGAGGTCTTGAGAGATCTGCAACCTTAGTACCCGACAGGCAAGTCACCATACAGTTCTCCTGGTCATCCCAAGCCCAGATGTGTATGTTTCTAATGATCGAATCCCCTATTACTAACACTCATCTTTTCCTAATGACTAGATTTCTCTCCCCCGGAGAGGTATCCTCAGTGAGAGAGGATACCACATTATCTGGAAGGTGGGCCCCAACTATGTGATCATTTTCCTCTGCTCCAGTTGAATGTTTTTTCTCTGAGCCTTTCACCCTCCTCAGCAGAACAGGGGCTGTCTTACCAGATGTGGAACAGGGCTATGAGGTTCCAGAAAACCTCATCTATATACCTCTTTGTTTCCCTCAGTTCCTCCAATTCAGCCACCCCATCCTCCAAAGTCCATACACAATCTCTGAGGGCCAGAAGCTCCTTGAACCGAATGCACACATATGCCACCTGTCCATAGGGAAGGTATTCATACATGCTACATTCGGAGTAATAAACAGGACAACCCCCACACTATTGCAGGGATTCTGCCTGCATTCTCTCCTATAATCAGATTTTGGATAGGGTTTTTATTTATATCAGGTAGTTTGGATTTTAGTTTAGTTTAAAAGTAGTTTAAAGAATGCTAAGTGTAACTAGGCCCTTTCAAACTCCCCCGCTAAACTCCCTCACAAAACTCTGTTAGCTACACCTGTTTGCTAAGCTCCCTGGTCACTTAATAGTGGGCCTTATATAGCCCGGATAGCTCCGCCCCATGTTTAACTGTATGTCACCCAATGGATGACTGCGTAGTTGAAATTTCCTATGATTACAATATCTAGTAACTTCCAACTCTCGTGATTCCTTAAGTAACTATTTTTTACTCCATCAAACACATCGTCATTTGGGTTCCAGCACTAATTGCCTCCCCTCCCCGCTCTTCGTTTGCCTCTCGTACTGAAAAATCTCTGGAAAAAAAAAATCTCACGTGTCAAGTCTCTTTTTAGGTGTCTTCCCAAATCTTCCTCAAATCATCCCTTATTTTACCAGGCTCCTGTCATTCTTGTTGTCATTGTGACCCACACTGGCTACAAGTAGATATTCAGCTAAATACTTCAGACTGCCATTGGCAATTTTGTCATTTCTCATTCTAGCATCTGAGAAAGTAATTTTTTTCTTCAAATAGCCCAAGCACCCTTTAAGACTACTGTTAATTATTTATGTCACTAAACCTTTTCTTGGTATGATAACAGAATTACTTACCTGTAACTGGAAGTTCTTTGAGAGGTGTGGTCTCTCTCTATATTCCTCTGAAAGTTATGTGCATGCACCTGAGTTGAAGTATTTTACATAGTACTATGTGCTAATCCCTCTACACATTCCTGAATTATCGTGTGTTGTTCCCTCCCCCCCCACTGCCCCCGATATGATTATGGGTGGAGCAGGCCACTGATGTCTCCAGTGCCTTCTTTATCATAGACCTATGAGATCTAGAAGAGAATCACTTGGAGAATCATCCTTTAACTGGATTCGGATTTAAATAATCATCTGATGCATATTATGTCTCCAATGAATAACCATTTTTATACAGAAGGAACTTCTTTTGGACATTGGACATTTTTTACTTGAGGGGAAGGAAAGGGTCTATTTAAATATTCTAATAGCTGTCTTTTACTCATATCTCCTGCCTCCCTGGAGGTTTTGAATGTAAGTGCAGAATCATCAGCAGGGCATAAATTAAACAAACTTTCTTTAGTTTCAAGCACTGCACAGTATTAGGAAAGATTTTTCAGGGTTTTTTTTCTTCATTTGATAAGAGTTTCCAATTAACCCACATAGGAGATCCAGCCTCTAGAACAATATTAGTAAGAGAAGTCAGATGACATTCCTTAAAGGCTCAGAAAGAAATATGCTTCAAGAGCATTTAAAATTAGGTCAAGATTCACAAAACAAGTTCTTCATGGAATAACTATCTAAATGAAAGCAATGTATTTTGCTGACCTGCTTCAGACACAGGGAAGAAATTAATACTGAAAATTGGCAATACGCAATATACCTACTGACACACCAAAAGGCACTTCACATACAATAATCCATTGTGAGGTCTGAAGAGGTTTTGTGTCTTTGTGACATCCAAGATAGACTAATTTTTCTGAAATTTATTTCAGACTGATAGGGATTTGTTGAAGTACAAGGCAAAAACTGCTGATGTCTAAATGTTAAGCCAGAAATAAACAGATCTGGCAGAAAGTATTTCAGTATGATAAAGTGTCTTTGGATTCAATTTCCACCAAGATAAAACCACCCGAGCTAGGAGCTGACTGAGTTCTGCATGGCTTTTCCCCAGAATCCGGGGTTAGTTGGGGAGTCCCCAGCTGATCCTGGGTTCCCTGAAGTATTTCAGTGGAGCTTGGGGTCAGCTGTGGACTCCCCAGTGGATCCTGGGCTCCGCGCAGCATTTCCCCATAACCTGAGTCCCCAGCTGATCCTGAGTTCCACTGAAATGTCACACGGAACCAGGGTCAGCTGGAGACTCCGGGTTCCATAGTTTTGAAATACACAAGAGCCCACACTGGGGACTCTTGTACATTTCAATGCAGGCACCCACATGCAGCCCAGAATCAGTGGGACTTTTGCTGGCCCTGGGCTGCACCTGGAGTTCCACATTCCTTCTTTGAAATGTACAAGAGCCCCTGTTGGGGATCTTGTACATTTCGAAGGAGGAATGCAGAAGTGCCTATCGACTATTTGACTACTCAATTAACTGCATTTTAATATCCCTACTGGATGCCCTGATGAGCTTTCAGATGAAGTGAATCATGAAGGTATATCTAACCATTATAAAGTATTCATTGTTTGAGGAAAATTTCAGAGTCCTTTCCTCTGCTTATTGATGCTATATTACAAAGTGATCTCATTTTGATTTTTTAAACAGTCCAGAATCAAAGTGTGTTAAATAAGGCTATTTAAAGCATATTGAAGACTTTCCCTTCCCCTCTCCCCAGTAAATATGCACTTGTCTGGTACCTCTAATTCAAATACAAATAATGTTGGCATCGATTATTTAAACCAAGTATAACAGTTGCACAAATTCAAATGTGAGAATGTAATTTTCCATTATAAAAACCTCATTTTTACATTTCTATGTTGGATCAGTTGAGAGAAGACCATAACTTCATCAGGCATGCTAAAAGGTTTGTTAAAATAGATGCTATTTAACACTATTGACGCAAATGCAATTACACTAAAGTAATGACAAATGTAGTAAAAGAAGTTATGATACTGTGTTATCTAAATTGCTACCATCATACCCTTGTTTGTAATTAACATCAGTATAGTCAGTATTGTATTGCTGAAGGTCCAAATTCACAGCATAAAGCAATAATCAGCTGGAGAGTCAAAGAAAGGGGAACAGAAAGACAATGCAGATTTTTAATGAGACTCCTCCACCCCTCAAACATTAGTAAATGTAACTTTTACAATAGAGATGCTATAGGGTAACCAGTTATGCTTAATGGGTGATGCTTTCCAGTTACAATTAACCAGTGGGGGGCTTGACCAGCTCCCCACCCCATGTCAGCAGGCGGCCTGCTCTGGGTACCTGCAGCAACCTCTCTCCATGGGGAGCCTGGGTGACCCACAGGCAGGGGCTGCTCTGGCTGGGGCTGCACCAGCCTGGCCTGCAATGGAAGTGCAGGGACTGCTACAGCCTGGCTTCAGCAGACAGGGGAGCCGTTCCAGCACAGTGGGGCTGGAGTGGCTGCCCTACCAGCTTTAACTGGTTAAACACATTAACCTGTTAAACGGGATTTTACATCCCTAATTTAGAAACAAACGTGTCAGCTCAATTGTGCAATGCTAATATTTGGAAAACTAAATATGAAGTATGTGAAA